GTATCTCAAAATTTATATTAAAATGAAAATATTATCGATTCACTATTTAGGTGTATCCTTTTAAGGTGAAGGTATCAGTAAATACATAATATTTATGTTGTTACATTCGTTTTCAGATAAATAATTAAAGTATCAGCAAAGGCTTTTTTCTTTCTTTCTTTTTTCTTTATTATGCACGCAAGTGTCTGATTGGAATATACTTCTTGTAGAATGACTTGTTTCCTTCGTTACTTCATCATGAATGAGAATTCTAATTTATAGGAGGTATGTAAATCCCAAAAAACAAAGAAACAACTACGAATGTTAGGAATAATGCCACACACGTTCTAATATAATAGTAATACAACTATATTATAGTTATCCTAATATATAGTAAATACTAAATAATTAAATAATTTAAATTTAGAATATAGTTATTTAGAAATATAACTATATAGAAATATAACTATATTCTAATTATGAATAAAAGATGCTTTTTAGTAGTTTCTGTTGATCTTGATAGGAAGAGGGGATAGAGATATCAAACAGAGGAAGAGTAGGACAAGTTTCAATCTTCTATATTTTTCTCAAAAAAATACTTTACAATTTTAGAAATTCTCTCTATTTCATGACCCAACATATGAGGTTTATATAGTCCCCAAAAATATATTACATTAATTATATTAAAGATGAATCATTCTCTTTCAAGAAACCTTTTTAAGAACCAATAACCAATTTGACTTATCCTTCCATAAACTTTTAATCTATTTTTTCTTCTTAATATAATGAATCTTCCTCTTGATGCAATGAACATTTCTTTTGATGAACAAGTTTAATTCCAATAGTTTCTTTAAAAGGGAGGCACTCTAACGTAAAATCTCATAACTTAGGGCTCTATATATCATTGGATTTGGGTCTTACAACCATGTTTTATGTTTTAACATGGGTGGAAAACTTTCAAAGGATGAAAGCAAACAAAGTGTTGAAAGCAAAGAAGAAGAAGGAGAAGAAGGGGAGGCGATTGATTGGTCAAATCTCCACGTCAACATGCTTGAACTCATCGCTGATCGACTCACCATCGATATCTTTGACTACACTCGCTTTCGTAACGTCTGTAAGAAATGGAACTCTAGCATCCCTCGTGATCGTGCGTATCCTCCCCAACTCCCATGGCTCCTTCTCAGACAAGACGACAGTATCAATCGTCTCTTCTTCTTCTCCTTATCAAGTGCAAGAGTCCATTCAATTCAACTTCCAGTGACGAGTGGCGAAAAAATCATTGGCTCATTTGACGGATGGCTAGTCCTCGAGAACAAATTTTGTTGGGCCATGTCTATCTTAAATCCTCTCACGGGTGTTCATATCCATCTTCCGATGCTCCCAAGATATCTTTGGAACAATAAAAATTGCCAATCGCTTTGGAGGATCGCAACATCTTTGAACTCATCGACGTCCTACAAAGGTTGCATCATCGTTGTTATCCCCACCCAGTTCAATCCTCTCTTATCTATCCGTTTCGGCGAGGATGATAATTGGACCATGTTGGATGACAAGAGCATCTACACATATGTCATCTACTTCAAAGAAAGATTTTATGTTCTAGACAAATATGCCCGAGTCTCCATTTTTGACTCATACCTTAAGAAAGTGATTGTTATCGGTCCTCAAGGGGATTTGAGACATGGGCCTAATTATTTTGCAGAGTTATCTGGAGAACTTGTAGTCTTTACAGGCAAATATATAAGGAGTTCTATCAATATATTTCAGTATTATCTAAAAAGGATCCATATCTCTAAGTTGAATCATCGACTTATGTTGTTAGAGGAGGCAAAGAGCTTAGGTGAGCACATACTTTTCATAGGTAATACTTGTCGCTCCATCTCGTGCACAACTATCCTATACCCTCGTGGAAAACATGACACTATCTATATCTATCCTCAGTATACTTGGAATGGATATATTAGATCGGGGATATATGATTTAGAGGATGGCTCTTTGAAGCCCCGTATATCTTTTAAGAGTAGTAATAATGAAGGGATATTAAATCTTGAATGTGTTTGCAAGTCTTCGAAGCCTCTCATGATATTGAAACCTTTTAGACTTGTAATAGAATTACTCCGTTGTTGGCATCGCCTTGCGAACCCCAAAAGCTGCTGCGTTGCAATA